AGATACACTTAGTAGTTCCGCTTAAAATTTATGTGTTCTGTGTGTTCTTTGTGCGGCCGCGTAATAGCTCGTCGACTGTCGCTGGGCTTTTACATAACCCCCTTCCCTCTGCCTTTGGCAAATTAATCTGTCGGTTCCGAATCCTCGGATTGGACATTGACTTCTCCCCAAATCAAGGCTAATCTCAATCTATTGGGTTGGTGAATTGAAAACTGCGGTCTATTGTCATACGTGACAGTTTGAGCACTTTCTTCAAAAGAAACCCATTTTGGTTTCAATGAAAAAGTTGTAGAGAATCAAAAATCAAGCTTATATACAAATTTTCAGAACGATTCAAAAACTGGTTTTCAAGAAATGCCAAATTTACGAATTTTCACAAAACTTGCAATAAAACTTGCATTTTAAGCGAAACTACTAAGTGTATCTTTTTGGAAATTTGGCTATAAGCCTAATTTTTGATTCTCTACAACTTTTCTATTGACACCAAAATGGGTTTCTTTTGAAGAAAGTGCTCAAACTGGGACATCTCCAGTCCTCGATTTTTGAGTCTCACACTTGTCTCACACACAAACCAAAATCCTACTACGAAAGAGGAATCTGCAAATTGCCTGTAAAATGGGCAGAAGTCGTCAATAATAATGGAAATTATTTCGAATGAATTCATGGTTTTATGTTGAATAAATTTTAGTTCAAAGTCCGGCTGTTTTCAATTCACCAACCCAATTGGAGTTGCCGAAACGAATTAGATTTTATGTGCTACGTGAATGTATTGGATCAAAATTTTGCAAATAATAACATAAAGGCTAATCCATAATCCTATTCTGATTATATTTTACGGCCTAAGTGTTGCTTGAATTATCTTTTCTGCGCTTGAACATTTGTAAAGCAATTTTAGCATTGTTAACAAGTAAAATAGGTAAATGAACAAAAAATGTTACTGTTTTCAGTTGTTCTTTTTTTTCTTTCTCAGTTACTGAGCAACATCTTAGCAACTTTAGCAGAATTGACGGAATCTTGACTTCTGATGAGACTTGGATCAATGACAATGACATATGACAATGTCGCTCGAAAAAATCAATGGCTCTTTGCTGTTGAAGCCTCGCAAACCACCCGAAAGTCCGATATCTATGAATCAAAGGTTTTCGAGATGATTTTATCAGTGAAAGTCAGTGTCGTCGATGGTTTCAGCGTTTTCGAGACGGCAATAAAAGCCTCCACGATAAGCCACATGCTGGACGCTCTCCAGAAATCTCAAATGACGATTTGCTCAATGCTCAATGCTCAATGCTCAATGATCCCACATTTACGCATCGGGAATTAGCAGAATTTTCTGACGTTAGCCATGTGAAAGTTGAAAACGATTTGTATCAACTTAGGAAAAAGGTTCGGCATGAGATTCCACATGAGCTGACGCAAGGTAAATAGCTGACGCAAATAGCTCGTGTCGCCGTGTGCTCCATCTTGCTTCAAAAGTGCAACTCACCCCAATTTTTCGACAGAATCTTGACTTCTGATGAGACTTGGATCAGTTATGACAATGTCACTCAAAAAAAATCAATGGCTCTTTGCTGTTGAAGCCTCGCAAACCACCCCAAAATCCGATGTCCATGGATCGAAGATCTGTTTATGGTGGAATTCGAAAGGATTAGTGCATTATGAAGTGCTAAAACCTAGACAAACAGTCGATGCAAACCTTTACTTGAAACAACGTGTGAGAATTAACGAAGCTTTAAAGAAATTGGTTATCAAACCGTCAAGATTCCGATTTCGGCATGAGAACGCTAAACCACACACTGCAAAAGTCACTCATAATAAAATTGAAGAGCTAGGTTGGAAACTTTTGCCTCACGCACCTTACTCCCCACCGTCACCGTTAGATTTTTCATTTCGAACCTTGCAACACTTCTTGGTAGATGTACAGTTTGATAATCATGCTCAAATCATAAATAAGCTCTACGCCTATTTTAATTTCAAGGAATCGTTTGAATTCGACGATTCGATCCAGGATCTGCGCAGAAGATGGAAAAAAGTCATGTGACTCATTGTGAAATTGCAATGCAATTTATCGAATCAAAAACTTTTAATTTCATATTCTCCCGTAATCTTTGCGATCTTTCAATTCAAAGACTTTGGGGACTTTGAATTCAAAGTTTGTTTCTTAAGTGCAATGTGTGTATGCATAGAATCAAAAATTTGTAAGAAGATGGGAAGAAGTCATTGATAAAAATGGAGAATCCCTTACCGATTCGTCTTTGCCTGTTTGAATTTTTTTTCAATAAATATTGGGTTGGTCAATTGAAAACTGCGGGACTTTGAACTAAAATTTATTCAACATAAAACCATCAATTCATTCCAAATAATTTCCATTATTATTAACGACTTCTGCCGATTTTACAGGCAATTTGCGGATTCCTCTTTCGTAGTAGGATTTTGGTTTGTGTGTGAGACAAGTGTGAGACTCAAAAATGGAGGGCTGGAGATGCCCCAGTTTGAGCACTTTCTTCAAAAGAAACCCATTTTGGTGTCAATAGAAAGGTTGTAGAGAATCAAAAATTAGGCTTACAGCCAAATTTCCAAAAAGATACACTTAGTAGTTTCGCTTAAAATGCAAGTTTTGTCGCAAGTTTTGTGAAAATTCGTAAATTTGGCATTTCTTGAAAACCAGTTTTTGAATCGTTCTAAAAATTTGGATATAAGCTTGATTTTTGATTCTCTACAACATTTCCATTGAAACCAAAATGGGTTTCTTTTGAAGAAAGTGCTCAAACTGTCACGTATTGCAATAGCTCGCAGTTTTCAATTCACCAACCCAATAGTTTTGATCAAAAAACGTGCATTATTTTCTTTATTTTCTTTACACTTAAAATTTTTATTTCAAAATCAGTGCCTAGCACTGCTAACAAGAATTTAAAACAAACAAAAAAACTCTACCAAATATTAATTATCTCGAGAAAACATTGAGCATATAAAAGAAGAGATGTTCGAAGGATCTAGGCTTAGAAAACTAAAATAAAATGCGGGGGTGGGACAAATGCGACCTTTTTTGTGCACCTGGACATTTGCGCACGTTTTTTTGCTGGAAAAGGCCTTAGGAAAGGTCGTAGAGCTTCAAAAATGTTTTCAGAGAAGGGAATCGTATGCGTAGATTCCGAATTTCGACAAATCAGACCTCGCTGACACGTCAAATTTGGGCTAAAAGGAAAAAACTGCGGAAAAGCGTTAAGTTGCGTAGTTTTTGCCTTTTAGCCCAAATTTGACGTGTCAGCGAGGTCTGATTTGTCGAAATTCGGAATCTACGCATATGATTCCCTTATGTGGAAATATTTTCGAAGCTCTACGACCTTTCCTAAGGCCTTTTCCAGCAAAAAAAAGGTGCGCAAATGTCCAGGTGCGCAAAAAAAGGTCGCATTTGTCCCACCCCCATAAAATGCAACCAAAACAAAATTCAACTCAAATAAAATGCAACCAAAATAAAATTCAACTCAAATAAATGAATCTCGTGCAAGTATTTGAAAGATGAGCATCAATAAGAACCGGGTGTTATTGGTAAATAAACCGAGAGGGGAAATTGCTAAAGATTCAAAAGAAAATAAAGAAATGAAGTTCAAAATTGATAATCCCAATGATTCCAAAAAAAAAGTCGGATTTTATGGGCTTTTTAGGTTTGTCTCTTCGTGGGAAACTGGTTTTTTGCTGAAAAAAAATTTGCCGAGAAAAAAAGGATTTTTTTTGGCCTTTTTGAAACTCTCTCCTGAATGGCTAGGCTTTTTCTCGTTCTTTTTAAAATCCTTTCAGATCTCTTACTAATTAAGATTTCACGTGCAACTTTGCAAAAAACATTTACAATGGTGAGACAACTCGAGCACAATTTTCAGAGGGGAAACTTTTTCAACTTCATTTTTTGTATATGTCGTAACCGATTATGAATAAATTTTTTGGCAAATCTTTCTAGTAGAGCAACCCTTTAATGAGGACAATATTATATCATCTTGTAGCTAATTAAATTCTGCGTCGATTAGTACCAAAATTGTGAGTTTAAGTTAAAAATTGCCGGCGCTACAACGTTTCATTCAAAATCGGCTGGATCCCCGTAGCCGATTATGGATTTCAGCCGATTATGAATGAATGGGTCTAGGCGATCATCTAGGAGAGCCTCCAAATCATCTAGGAGAGCCCCCAACCATCTAGGAGAGCCTCCAATCATCTAGGGAAGCCTCCAACCATCTAGGAGAGCCTCCAACCATCTGGGAGAGCCTCCAATCATCTAGGGGAGCCTCCAACCATCAAGTATTTAGTATCATTCAACGCAGAATCATTGATAATTATGTTAAATTTTTAAAATTAGCAAGATTTGATAAAAAGAAAAAAAAATTAGAGCAAAAAAACTGTTTGTTCAAGAGAAAACTTTGAAGCCCCATGATTTGTGTTCTTTTCATCAAATCTTTCTAATTTCAAAAATTTAACATAATTATCAATGATTCTGCGTTGAATGATACTAAATACTTGATGGTTGAACGCTCCTATACCCACTCATTCATAATCGGCTGAAATTCATAATCGGCTACGACATATAAATTTACAAAAGAAGTACCAATTTTGAAAAGCAACCCAGAATTTTTGAATATAATAGTACCGGTGGGACAAAAATGAATGCTAAAAACGAGAAATAACTAAGACAAACTAAGAAATTTGAAAATTTGAAAGAATCTAATGAAAACTAACATAAAATGAGCAAATCACCTTGTCTAGATTTGTTTTCATCAAACTTTTTCCAAGAATTGAAACCCGTAAAGATTTTGCAGTGACTAAGATTATGCTAGCCGGGAAATGAGGTTAAGATTTGGAAAAAAAGAAGGAGTGGAAAAAAGAAAGAGTGGAATAATTTGGAGCTCTAAGAGAAGGATCGAGATCAAAGATTGCTTCGGGAGAGAAACCAATCTTTGTCCATTAGAAAAATCACAATTTCATTTAAAAACTCAACAAAATCTATGATATTCTCAACGCTGCTGTCCCTCGATTTCATTCATCGAAACAGCCGATTCAGTCATTCGATTAAATGACGGCTCCGACTTCAACATGTACGTTGTGCTCGCTGTGGCGCCCAGACATTTTTGCGCCTGAAGGTACTGGTTTGCAAAGAAATATGGGATTTTGTGAGCCTAAAAGTTTTCATTTCATGAGTTTTCATGTGAAATGCAATGGAATAGAATTTGAGGTCAGAACTAGAAATGGCTAACGATATTTTGGGGTTGCTCTCGTTTAGACAGTCATATCGGCGCACTGAAAGTTGCTAGCCATTTGAAACTTTTTCTATCGGAAAGTCTAGATTATCAGCTTCATTTTGATACCAAACATCCAACAAAAACCTTTAAAATAATACTGAAAAAAGCAAATTAAACCTTAAAATTGCTACCCTTAAAATTGCTTAGGCTTGAACTTAAGCTTAGGCTTAGGCTTAGGCTTAGACTCAGGCCCAGGTTCAGGCTTAGGCTCAGGCTCAGACTCAGGCTGAGGTTCACCTAGGCTTAGGTCTTGTTGAAGACTAGGCCAGGCCAACTTAGGTCAACCCAACTAATCTGGCTTGACCTTGAAATGGTTAAGGCTTAGGCTTTACCCAAACATTCCCATTTCCAGGCATTCATCAATCAATACCGTATCCTTTTGCCGTACGGTCGGGAAAGTCAAGTAGAGGATGTGAAGAATTTCATCCAAAATCATCCACTGATAGAAAGAGTCCTTAACAAGGCCTCGTTAAGGACGGCCTCGTTAAGAACGGCCTTGTTAAGTACGGCCTCGTTAACTATCGATAACCTTTTAGGAGTACTTTTTTGAAATTTATTTTAAAGGTTTTTGTTAAATTTTTGGTATCAAAATGAAGCTGATAATCTAGGCTTTCTGATAGAAAAAGTTTCAAATTGCTAGCAACTTTCATTGCGCTGATATGACTGATCAAACTTGAAGCTTCGTTAAGCCTCGTTAACAAGTCTAAAAAGAATTTATAAAGTTACTTGCTGAGTTTTGCTTCATCTTGTCGAGAGCTATGAAGCAGAGAAATTATATTTAAAAAGTTCCTTTTCATACTTCCGTTTAAAAATAACAAATTCATCAATTAACCTATGATTAACCTTTTCTCTAAAGAAAAAGTGTTTTTTTATTCAATTTTCTATCTTTTTAAGTCAATTTGGATCAATTTCGAGCAATTGAAGTCAATTTTGGTTCACTTTTGGTTCACTTTCAAGCGCAAATTCGAGAGTGTCAGCTCCGAGCCAAACTGATATTTTAGTTACTATTGTTATTATTGAATGATTTGTCTATTCTTATGCAAATGTGTCCTCCCCTGTGCTTATCCCTTTTATTGCCGAGAAGGGGCGGTCCTTGGGATTGCCTAGGAGGACAAGTGAGATGCCTTGGAGGACAAGTGAGATGCCTAGGAGGACAAGTGAGATGCCTTGGAGGACAAGTGAGATGCCTAGGAGGACAAGTGAGATGCCTTGGAGGACAAACTCCCATTTGGAGTCCCCCCTTCCCCTTACACTCATTTGTAATCTATTCATTTTATTATACTACTGTAAATAAAGATACGTATCTTCCGGGTCTATGCAACTGCAGTACAGGTCGGTCATTTCACAGGGACTCCCCTCTAATACGTTGAAGGAGTTGAGTTGGGTTGTCGGGGTGTTAGAGATGGTGGGATATCAAAAGGGATCCACTCTCTTTAACCTAAGCCAAATTCTAGTCCACATCCGTTTATACCCAGGAACGAATAAGAGTGAACGTGTTTTCGAGAGTGAACGAGAGGGGTTTTTCGTGAAATCTATAAAAACCCAAATTGGCTAAATGATTTTCTCTGAAAATTTGGCTGTATACCAAACTTTTTATGCTCTATCTTTTATCTATTGACACCAAGTGAGATTTTCTTAGCTAAAGTGTGTCTTTTCTAAAGCTAAAGTGTCCGCTTCATCAAGCCGTCGCGCTTTTTAACTACCCGACTTTACGCTCTCAAAAAAGTCCAGACATAAGACACTTTAAACCCGTTTTAATGTTATTTTGTAGAAAAATAAGTGACCTTTCTAATAAAACAAACAGTTGAATTGGTGCATTTGTTGGTTTTAAATAGAAATACGAAAAGAAACGAAAAGAAACGAAAAGACTTATTCACCAACCTAATAGATTTGTCAGTGTCATTGACTTAAACTGACTTAGTTGACTTAAACTCCTAGCCAACAAAGTATTACTGCTTTTAACCATCAAGCTTTTACAATCACTGACCACTGGAACATCATCCGCTTTCCAAATCTTGAATTTCCGAAGGAACCAAACAAGCGGAACGGGAGCAATCGCCATTACAACCATTCCAAAAGCGATGAACAATGCCCAAATCGGATATTCGGTTTCGATTTGTTTTGCCTGAAATTAAGTGGTTATCGTAATTTTTTTATTGCCTTACCGTAGCCTTCTCATACGCAAAATATCTTGGCAAATGTGAAAAGCATTGGATGATCGAAGTGGAGAAAAGGATAAACATGACTAATGGAGAGATGAATCTCCATGTGTAGATGTAATAGTTGGATGGAGGAGATCCGGTCATATACTCGATGTCACGAGAGAATCTGTATTTGTTTATTTGATTCATTTCAAAATTCAAGCCAATTCAAGCCAATTACCTTCTGAATCCATAGATGTAAACAACAGCGATCACTTCACAAAAAGCTACGCACATCAAGGCGTATGAACCGGCAAAATGATCGAATAAGGCCACCCAGTACTAAAAGTTTCTTGCTTTTAGCCTCGTTTTACTTGTGAATTCAAACTTGTCCAGCTTTTGTCGAAAACAGTAAACCGATTGCACAAGCTGATGCACAAAGAACTGCTGTGAGGATCGGTTTCTTGACGGTGATCAAACGAGAGTCATTCAATGAAGTGATCACTCCTTCAAGTGTTCCGAACATTGAGCCTAGAAAGAAGACAGCTTTAGAAAAAGACAGCTTTTCAGAAATTTGGCAAATTGTGGTTGCTTAAGTGTTGTACATTGCACTGCATTGAACTTAACTTTTCTTTCATTAACTCACCAAGACCCAGTGACAAAAGCATCAAGAAGAATAAAATCGACCAAAGTGGTGGAAATGGAAATTTCAGAATTGCCTCGGTGAAGACAACAAACGCAAGTCCGGTACCCTCCGCAGCCTAAACCCAGGAATTATATTGGGTTGGTGAATTGAAAACAGCGGGCTATTGCCATACGTGACAGTTTGAGCACTTTCTTCAGAAGAAACCCATTTTGGTGTCAATGGACACCTGTAAAATGGTAAAATGGCAATTTGCGGATTTCTCTTTCGTAGTAGGGTTTTGGTTTGTGTGTGAGACAAGTGTGAGACTCAAAAATGGAGGACTGGAGATGTTCCAGTTTGAGCACTTTCTTCAAAAGAAACCCATTTTGGTGTCAATAGAAAAGTTGTAGAGAATCAAAAATTAGGCTTATAGCCAAATTTCCAAAAAGATACACTTAGCAGTTTCGCTTAAAATGCAAGTCTTGTGAAAATTCGTAAATTTGGCATTTCTTGAAAACCAGTTTTTGAATCGTTCTGAAAATTTGGATATAAGGTTGATTTTTGATTCTCTACAACTTTTCCATTGACACCAAAATGGGTTTCTTTTGAAGAAAGTGCTCAAACTGGGACATCTCCAATCTCCAGTCCTCCATTTTTGAGTCTCACACTTGTCTCACACACAAACCAAAATCCTACTACGAAAGAGGAATCCGCAAATTGCCTGTAAAATGGGCAGAAGTCGTCAATAGTAATGGAAATTATTTGGAATGAATTCATGGTTTTATGTTCAATAAATTTTAGTTCAAAGTCCCGCAGTTTTCAATTGACCAACCCAATAGTTGGATCCAGGAATTTTCAAGTCAAATAAATATGCCTAAAGGCATCGATTCTATGTGATTCTCTCATATAAGTAAACGTGCAATTAGATATTTGTGAAAAGCCTTTCCAATTTTCGTCATGCTCAGTTAAATCCGGTCGAAAAATCGCGCTTTTAGGATTCACCAAACTAATATTTCAAAACCCAGGAATTATTCCATTCCAGGAATTATTCCAAATTCCATTCACCAACCTCTGTAATAATTTTGTGATAGTTACAATGTTGAGAATTCCCAGCCATCGCCGTGAAATTTCCATTAAATCCATTGTCCATTAGACGGAGATATTCACTGTGATTGAACATTTTCTTCACATCATTCAATGAGCTAAAGTTTTCCGGATACGTTTGAGCCATTATTGCCATGTCTCTGAAATAAATTGATGTTGGAAAAGTCTGTCAGAGGCAGATATTGATTGAAGATTTAAGGCAGTATTGAAAATTTCATTTGACTTACTTTACGACACAATTTTGCATATTGTTATGTGCCATATATCCAAGCACACAAAAGATGACAACGGCTGTGTAGAGTGAAGTGACAACATTAGCTAGAGCCAGCCAAAAAGCGTCACTCTTGCAATTGTTCTTCACTGGATTGTAAGAACCAAAAGCGATTAAGCCTAAAATTCATCGAGTTGATAGATTGAGCTTTATTCTATTAGGTTGTTCGGATATAGACAAGTGTTACTAAACTTATTGTTGTGAGAGAAGCTTTTAAAAGATGTCTTTCTGTATTTAAAAGTACGTTATCTTGTGCATATTTGGAATCTTTTTAAACGGATAATTTTTTATTTTTAAGATCTTTTTTCTTGCTTTAGATGACCGACTTCAATGATCGACCATATCAAGTTCGCTTCTGCCTACTTTACGACTTCAAACTGGGCAAAACAGTAGCGAATCCCATTGAGATTTGGTCAAAGCATTTGAGAATGATGTATTGTCCGAAAGCCGATGCCGAGCCTGGTTCCAACGCTTTCGGAATGGTGATGAAAGTCTCGAGGATCATGAACACTCTCATCGACCTCAAGCGGTAGACAACGATATTTTGAGGGCTGCAATCGAATCAAATCCATGTAAAACGACGCGTGAACTTGCTCAACAGTTTCTATGTTCAAATTCTACCATTGATGAGCCTTGGAAAGGCGGGAAAGGGATGCGGGAAATGGCTTCCTCACGAGTTAAGCAGTGCAAACGCTCGTTTATATCCGAACAACCTAATAGTTCTATCTAGTTCTAATCTTGAATCGTTTTCAAAGATCTTCAAGTTGCGAGTGAGTGATCTACGTTGTTTCTAGTGGTTCTTCGTGTTTCTCCAAGAATGCCCATCATAGCCGAGGCTTGGGGAAAACTTTTTAAGTCGCCCTCTTCTCTTCCGCCCGAGTGGCGTCCCTTTGTCTTTTATCTTTTTTATTTTTTTATCCGAACAACCTAATAATATTAGGTACATGCATAAGAAATGCGAATTTAAACATTTTCATAAATTTCCAACGATAGAAATCTGATATCGATGAATGTTATAAACTATTTGAAAGTTGTAAATCTCCTCTACAAAATAGGCTAAAACGTGTTTCAATTGATCGAACCATTGAAGAAATTTTGAAAGCGAAATGCAAGTGATCAAAAAAGGAATGGAGTCACTTTAGGGACAAGTTTAGTGTGGTCAAAATAGAGTTAGCTTCCCTTTTTGAAAACCCCACTTTCACAAGAGTTCGGTTTTGACTATATAGTGGAAAATGACGGCCCTAAAATCATTATCCTAAAAATATCATTCAAAATAATTAAGAGTTGGGATCATTTCATGAGAAAACTTTGTTTTTACAATAATTTTTCTTTTTTGTGAAAAAGCCGGTTTTTTTTGATAATTTTGAGGGTTTTGAACTTACGCTCTATCTAAATTTCTGTAAATGCATTTCCGTCGGACTTTTTTTTAATGAATTGATATATAGTTATTCTTTTTTTAAAGTCTTCAACTTTGGAAAGCTAACGCTATTTTGACGACACTAAACTTGTCCCTAAAGTGACTCGATTCCTTTCTTGGTCACTCGCATTTGGCCCTCGAAATTTCTTCAACGGTTCGATCAATTGAAACACGTTTTAGCCTATTTTGTAGAGGAGATTTACAACTTTCAAATAGTTTATAACATTCATCGATAACATTCATCGATATCAGATTTCTATCGTTGGAAATTTATGAAAATGTTTAAATTCGCATTTCTTATGCATTTACCTAATAGATTCAGCTTCATTCTTACCCCCAAAGCCGAGTCCCATCGAGTAGAAAATCTGTGTTGCCGCCTCTAGCCAAACATCCGGACTGTAGAGCATTTCCAGCTAAATTTTCGTTTGTCTTTACTCAACCAATTTCAAATCCCAAGTTAAAATTTATAGTTTGACTCCAAGAAATCTCCAAGTTTCTCCAAGAAATCATTTCAAATTCATTTCTTTTGCAAGAAATCAGATAGCGGCTCTCGAAGAAGAAAATAAAAAGAGTTCGGGCTTAAGTTTCCAGAAAAGCGCCTTCAAACTTGAAGTGGGGGAGAATCCAAAGGTCATTTTTGGAGAAAAAATGATTTTAGGCGAAAGCTTGCAGCTTATTAAACAGCTAAAACTAAAGTAAAAGCTAAAACTTACATCAGGATTGATCATGTACCATAAACCTTCCATTGCTCCATCCAATGTCAACGATCGAATAAGGAAAATCGTTGTCACCAGATAGGGAAATGTTGCAGTTGCGTACATCACCTAAATTTCTTTCTTTCATTTTGGATTGCCCGTGTTTTGAGTTGAAGGTCAAGCTCAAGGTCAAGCTCTAAAGTAAGTGCTAAATCAAGCTCTAAATCAAGCTCTAAATTGCTCTAACTCTAACCTTTCCCGAGCTCTTGATTCCTTTCATCACACAAAAGTAGACCAACGTCCAAGCACACAGCAGAGAGATCGTGATTCTCGGGTTTAGCCCTTCCAAATTACCGATCGATTCCGAGGTGTCAAGAGCTTTTCTGTTCCAGAAGAACATTGTTGGAGATGAAGAGAGAGCACATTCCTCCTCAATTGTACCATTTTCATTCGTCGGACAGTGCTAAAATTGACTTGTTATCTCTAGAAGTCTTTTGAAATCTGTACACTCAATGAGACAGCTTTAGCTTCATTTAGCTATTCTAGCTCAGCTAGCTATTCTAGCTTCATTTAGCTATTCTAGCTTCATCTAGCTATTCTAGCTTCATTTAGCTATTCTAGCTCATCTAGCTATTCTAGCTCATCTAGCTATTCTAGCTTCATTTAGCTATTCTAGCTTCATTTAGCTATTCTAGCTTCATTTAGCTATTCTAGCTCATCTAGCTATTCTAGCTTCATTTAGCTATTCTAGCTCATCTAGCTATTCTAGCTTCATTTAGCTATTCTAGCTCATCTAGCTATTCTAGCTTCATTTAGCTATTCTAGCTTCATTTAGCTATTCTAGCTCATTTAGCTATTCTAGCTCATCTAGCTATTCTAGCTCATTTAGCATTCTAGCTCATCTAGCTATTCTAGCTCATTTAGCTATTCTAGCTCATCTAGATTCTAGCTCATTTGCTATTCTAGCTCAGCTAGCTATTCTAGTTCATTTAGCTATTCTAGCTTCATTTAGCTATTCTAGCTCATCTAGCTATTCTAGCTCATCTAGCTATTCTAGCTTCATTTAGCTATTCTAGCTCATCTAGCTATTCTAGCTCATCTAGCTATTCTAGCTTCATTTAGCTATTCTAGCTTCATTTAGCTATTGATTCTAGCGATATTTAGCTTTTTCATTTAGATTTTTATCCATTTCTTTGCTAAAATAGTTGAACAAAAGGCTTGCCAAGATCGAGTTTACTAAGAAATTTTCACGGTTGAGGTTGAGGCCTTCTAAATTAGCCTTCCAAATTACCGATCGATTCCGAGCTCAATTATTTTTGGAACTTTGGAAAATTGGCGCTTTTTGTTCAAGCCTTAACCACGCTTTGGCCGTTTTTTTTCCAAGAATGCATAATGTTTTCAATTCCTTTTCTAGCCTAGCTTCCAAAGAAATGAGGAAGCGTAATCAAACTTTTTTTTTGCCATAAAAAGCCACTGAAACCTTGTTTCATTTTGAAACAGGAAAAGGAAAAAGGTAGCAGAAAAGGATTGGTCTTTGAAGCATAGAATTGGTAAATAAAAGCATAGAATTGGTAAAGAAAAAGTACTCTATCAGGTCATTCATCTACTTTGGTCACATTTTATATCATAAAGCTTTTTCATTGAATGACGTGGCGAAAAACAAAGCCATTTGAGGTTGACAGCTAGCGAAAAATTGAGCAAACAATTAGCGGTTATATTCATAAGTTATTTCTTTCCAAGAAGAAATTGATTGACCAATGAAATTGATAGGCCAATTTTTCAAAAATATGCCCATTTTTGTTAGCCAACAGTCAAATAGTGCCAAGAAAGCTAAAAATGAATCTTTTCCTTTGCCTTCCGAACGAACTTTACCTTAAAGCAATACTCCGGCCTAAGGAAAATCAGTCTGAAATTGGGCACCTGTATTTCAAGTCTTCTTAAGTCTGATTTTTAACTTTTTAAAATTATTCTTTTAGAATGTAATGTTTTCTATTAAAAATAACAAAAAATATTTCGAATTGCTGTTAAATTTGAGAAAATACATGCAAAACCCCCTTCGGATTTCCTTTCCCTTCGGGTTGAGAGATTTTCTGGAGGCCAGTCTGGTGGTTGTGGCCCCAGTTCTTTAAAGTGACAAGCCACTCCTTCATCGTCATCTTCCCTTCACCACCAAAAAAAGCTATTTAGTTCCCCATTGAGCTTAGGGTTAGGGAGCCGTCTGTCATGACGTGGGTTAAGTTAAGATATAGCCTAGTATTGTGTGTGTCGTTGTATTGTGATTGATATATTTCGTGTATGCGATAAATTCACCACTGGTAGCCCCAGTCGGTATTTTTTAAAAGAAAAGTGCTAAAATGCCTAAATGCTAAAATGCAATTGAACGGGATCTGTACATACTTTTTAGTCAAATATCCACGTTTTAGGGTGAAGTGGAAAGCCAAAAACGCATTTTTCTTCATTTCTCGATTGAAAACCTTGTTTTTCATATGGGAAATAGTTGTAGAGGAGACTAATAATACATAAATGATCGCGATTCTTGAAAGTCGACTTTTAGGCCGGAGTACATCTTTACCACGCTCGAAACTTGCAATAATGGAGCTCAAAAAGCATTACTTTTATAGTAATTAACTCTAAAAACGTACTAATGCAGAAAAAAATGAAAAAAATGAAAAAACGAAAAAGACGATTTTTAGACAGAAAAAAGACGATATTTAGACCAAAAAAGATAATTTTTCGGAGCCCAAACTCGAATTTAACTGTTTTTCAGCCGCATAGCATAGCATTTTTTGTATTGCTAAACTAGGGTTGTTAAAGTCATTAAAAAATCTCACCGTTCTTCTATTATATGCAAAATTATGCGTAGATTTTATGAGTAATTGTTGCTTTTCAGCTTAGATCAATGTTTTTTCTTAGGAAAGCCAAAAAGATGCATTAAGCGCAGCAGTAGATATTCTGTATCGCCAGGAAATCCCTTCCTTTAGCTTCTAAGAAGGAGAACCAACCGCCCATGGAAGTTCCAAAGAGAATGATTGACCGAGATAGTACAAACACCAAGTGATAATCACATTGTAGTACAAAGCGACCAAGTAGGAGACAATTGCTGCCGAGACACCGACGCCTGAAAGTTCAAGTGATCGAATGGATTTTGGAATGCAATGTTTTGAGTAACAGTTTTCCGAAAACTGTTGATATGATATTTATTTATATATCTTTACCTCCAAGATACGGATGTATCGCATTCCAGACTCCAATCGGACCCGTTCTCAACCGCTGTCCAATTCCCAATTCGATCAGAAAGAGCGGCAATCCTCCGACAGCCATCATCACAACGTATGGTATTAAGAAAGCTCCTAAAACTTTTGAAATCTCGAGTTTCCCTCACTTTCTCTCACCTCCGCCATTTTTCTGACACAAATACGGAAAACGCCAAACATTTCCAAGGCCAACAGCATATGAGATGACTCCCATGTAGAACTGGGTCTTGTTATCCCATTCTTCTCGATTCTCCGGTGGTTCCTCAACATAAAGACTTCCTTCCAAATCCTGAACACACAGCAAACCGGTTAGTGCATTGGCAAAAGGGGATTAGGATGGAGTCTTCAGACAGCTTGATAAGAATTTAACTACCTCAACTTGTGATCCCGAACTGGCTGCCTGATTGGCGAAACTGACGCGAGAGCCGAGTCGAATCTCTTCTTCAGACTGTGTGTTGGCATCAAAGGCTGCCTTTTTGCCTGGTACATCCAGAAATTCGCGATTCATTTCTCTAAAGATTTATCATATTTTATAAGTTTATCGATTTATTATCGAAAAACATTTTTAATATAACAAAGTAGAGAGTTTATTCAAGATAGGGCTCAAGATTGCAAAAAAATGAAGTAAAGATCAGCAATGGCAGAGATTAGCTGGCGATTAGGCTAGCAGGAGGACAAATGATTCAAATTCCATCTGTTCCTCGGGCTAAACATCTTACACAACATTTCATAATCCACCAATTTTCTTCGATAAAAACTTTACTTCGATTTTCCCGTTCTTTGCAAAACATAGTTATTTAAAAGCCCATTCAAAAAGTGCATATTTGTTTCAGAATGAAACCAAAAAGTAGATTACCTCCTGGGTTTGGATTTGTTTAAGCTCGCTTGTTTAGGCTTTCACTCAACAAAAAAACTACCCAAAAGTATTGTAGTCAGGCGGTTTCATCAATTGACTCATTTCAATGAATAGAGTGGCAATTGAAGTTAGCTGAGTGGCAATTGATTAGACGGAGAAAGAGGGGAATAAATAGAGGGCCACGAAAACGAGTTGAGCAGAAAATGGGCACTCAGTGGGGGAGGAATTTCTGTTCGAGAGTGTGGGGGGTTGGAGGTCGGAGTGGGTGGAGGACTAGTCAAAATAGGGGAGAGGTTGTTCGAGGCGGGCCTTCCCCTTCAAGAGTAGGTGGAAAGTGATGGAGGCTGGGCACATTACGCCTTTTTTTCACCCTTGTCGTTTTCTCCGGCCTCAGTTCTCTCCTTTTATCTCCGGACCCTTCAAAACGCCATCCACACCCACTCCTCATCAGAAGAGCTCGGTCATTGAAGCCGCCTTTCTCAAACATTTTATCCTATTCTAAGAAATAATTTAAAGAGATTTTTCTTTTATTTAATCTGTGTTAACTCTAGAACATCGAATTATATTGTTTATTGTTAGAGTTTCTATTGCTTAATGTTAGAATCGATTTAATGAAGGTCGAGAATTTCAAGCCAGATTTCAAGTCTGATTTCAAGTCTGATTTCAAATGTTTGATTAACTTTGTGCAAACTTATGCCTAAAACTTATTGTTAGCGATTATCCAACGATGCCTAAGCCTAAGCCTAAGCCAAGCCTGAGCCTAAGCCTAAGCCTAAGCCTAAGCCTAAGCCTAAGCCTAAGCCTAAGCCAAGCCTGAGCCTAAGCCTAAGCCAAGCCTGAGCCTAAGCCTAAGCCTCAGCCAAGCCTGAGCCTGAGCCTAAGCCTCAGCCTAAGCCTAAGCCTCAGCCAAGCCTAAGCCTAAGCCTAAAACGGGTGTCCCTTAGCTCCCAGAACTCGCTGAGATCCAAAAAATGGGGGTTCAGCCCAAACCCAAATAGACTTAGTGCTAGGCGCTAGCGCAAGCCTAAGCACTAAGCCCAAGCCTAACTTTCTATATCTCAACTTCCAGACACGACAACTACTTGAAAATTTGCCAGGATGCTCGCTCCTATGGGGGGCGGATGAGCATCGCCAAGCGGGTGTGCCTTAGCTCCGAGAACTGGCCGAGATCCAGAAAATGGGGGTTTAGCCTAAACCCAAATAGACTTAGTGCTAGGCGCTAGCCGCTAGCCTTCGCACTAAGTCCAAGCCCAAGCCAAGCCTAAGCCTAAGCCTGAGCCTAAGCCTGAGCTATAGCCTAAGCCTAAACAGCAAGTAAACACAAATAAACAAAAAGAGAAATTCTCAACGTTGAGAACAAATTGTTTAATTTGAAAAGTCCGAGAAAAATCTTTGGTTAATCTTGTGGGAGTGGAACGGCTGTAGTTTAAAGACATCAAGAATCAAATTATGATAGAAATCAAAGCAAGACAGGATTAAATAAGTCTAATCTTCAAGAAATTAATCTATTTATTCCAATCCAAAGTTATTCCAATAAAACTTCTCAAACTTATTACAGTTTTAAAGCCTGTTTTGCTGTTTTGACTTATTGATATTTTGAAGCCGCTAAGCCTTTTGAAGAAAGCGTTTTGAAGAAATTTATTCAAAGCTAGAAATCCAAAACAATCAAAATCCTTGCCAAGATGAATTTCGTTGAAAAAAACTGACGCAAAAAGTTGCGAATGAACGTAAGGGTGGGTCAGAGAAAAAAATGGACATCGAGAAGTTGGACTCGTGAGAAAAATGGACATCGAGAAGCTGAGAGAAGGCGAAGGCCTTTTGGGGGGAAAGAAGACAAACAATAGGAAAGGATTTGGGGTGTTCATTGAAAAATCTAGAAGAAGACAAGAATTTTGGGTGTTTCAGCACGTTCGGCTTGCAAAGTAGTCAAGTTTTTTGTCACTTTTAACATTTTTGAAGGCATTAGAACTGGAAAAATGCTGAAAAGTTCGTTTTTGACTTTAGGGAATGACTTTGTTGCCTTCTCTTCAGGAAATGACTTTGTTTGTATGTTACATCTGTTATTGAATCTACGATCTAACGATTCAGTAACGAGTAACATCACAGTAACATCACTAACATTCAATAATGTCATTGATGTTAGATCCGTTATTGAATTGTTATTGAATTCTTAATGAATTCTTATTGAATCGGACGTCGGCTTTTGAATCGTTCAACCTATATTTCAACAAGTTTCAAACTTTACTAAATCCTTGAAAGATTTTTTTTCTTTTAATCATTGAGCATCAAAAAACATCAAACATCAGTCCTCAAACTTCAAAATTTATTGATAACAAACGATCAAAAATAAAAATGATTGAAAAGAAACATAACAAGCACATCTTATAAAAGCTTTATAAAGAAAATAGAAATACGGAACGCGCAAGTTAGCTAGGATTCAAATTATGAATTGAAAATGATACTTACTAGCTTGCAAAAGCCATAAACAAAAAACAAAATCGTTAAAGTGTAGGTTGAACGATTCAAAAACGGAGATTCGATTCAGAATTGGACGTCTGTTATTGAATAGATTCAATAACGGACGTTCGGTTCTAAACGGGCGGACGTTATTGAATAGATTCAAAAACGGAGATTCGATTCAGAATTGGACGTCTGTTCTGAATAGATTCAATAACGGACGTTCGGTTCTAAACGGGCGGACGCTATTGAATAGACTCGATAACGGACGTTCGGTTTTGAACGGCTGGGCGCTATTGAATAGATTCAAAAACGAACTTTAGGTTCTGAACGGCTGGACGTTATTGAATAGATTGAAAAACGGACGTTTGATTCAGAATCGGACGTCTGTTCGGAATAGATTCAAAAACAAACCTCCGGTTTTGAACGGACGGACTTTCTGACTAGATTCAATAACGGGTGTTCGATTCAGAATCGGACTTCTGTTCTGAATAGATTCAAAAACGGACGTTCGGTTCTGAACGGACGGACGTTCGTTCTTCAATAACGGACGTAACATATATCCTCTACAAAAGATTATCTAATCAAATTCTTTGCAAAAAGTCTGCAAATATTGAGAAATTTAGTGATTCACTAAGGAAAAAGATCTCCAAAAGCAGTCGTCTTAGATCAAACAATGCTGTTGAAGAAAAGAGGAACAAGTGGCTCCAAGGAATGATTCATAGGAAAAAAAAAGGAATGTTTTGTATAAGTAAAAGCTAAAAATGACCAAGCAAAACAATTGCAAAACAAAGTGTCCAAATCTGATGTAATTGAGAGATAACGATGTTTTTTTACCAAGGATTTTAGATATTCTGAGATATTCTGAGATATTTCGGAGATCAAAAGGTAGAAGATCTTACTCTTACATTCTAGAGCATTCTAGAGCCGAAAGAAAGCTACAGACGCGATATCTAGACTAATCTTTAACCATCTTTGATAGACCAAAAAAAACCGGCTTCTTTTCTCTCAAAAGTGTGAAGTGTTGATGAAGAGAGATCAAGTTGTGCTTGGATTCTTATTCTTGGCCATTCCTTTCCTTTCCTTTTACCCTCTTCACACGAAAACATAGCCATCTTGTCTAGAAAAACTCATTGTTTATCAAGCTTTATCACCATTTTCCCAAAGTTCAAAAACACTTCTTGAACTTAACAGCTGGAAAGGACTTTATTGTGTAACATTTTCTTTCAATTCCATCCATCCTTTGTGATAACAGAAATTTGTTTTTACTTAATGAATTCCTAAATAAGTTCAAGGTTACTTAAAGAGTCCAAAGGTAACTTAGTGAGTCCAAAGGTAACTTAATGAGTTCAAAGTTTACTTAATGAATTCAAAGTTTACTTAAAGAGTCCAAAGGTAACTTAGTGAGTCCAAAGGTAACTTAATGAGTCCAAAGGTAACTTAATGAGTCCAAAGGTAACTTAATGAGTCCAAAGGTAACTTAATGAGTTCAAAGTTTACTTAATGAATTCAAAGTTTACTTAAAGAGTCCAAAGGTAACTTAGTGAGTCCAAAGGTAACTTAATGAGTCCAAAGTTTACTGAATGAATTCAAAGTTTACTTAAAGAGTCCAAAGGTAACTTAGTGAGTCCAAAGGTAACTTAATGAGTCCAAAGTTTACTGAATGAATTCAAAGTTTACTTAAAGAGTCCAAAGGTAACTTAGTGAGTCCAAAGGTAACTTAGTGAGTTCAAAGGTAACTTAGTGAGTCCAAAGGTAACTTAATGAGTTCAAAGTTTACTTAAAGAGTCCAAAGGTAACTTAGTGAGTCCAAAGTTTACTTAATGAATCCAAAGTTTTACTAAATTACCTCAGAAATGTAAATTTTCAGTAAATTTCGTCTTTCCTATTTCGTCAGAGACTCGAACATTTCTCTTTTTCCTATTTCTTTATCAACTTGAAAGAGACAAACAGAATTGAAAAGTGAGCTTAACAAGAGAAAGAGATGCTCAATGCTTTTTGGGAAAAGAGAAAGGAATCTTTTAATGAAAAAGTGAGTAAGAGGCGCCGAAGAAGCCCACGTGAAGGCTCTTTCCTTCATTCAACTCATGGGGATTTAAAAATCACAGCTAAAAGCTGCATAAAGCACTGCAAAAGCCCTGCAAAAGCACTGCAAAAGCAATGCAAAAGCACTGCATAAAGTTAAAAAGCTGAAC